CCATCTCCACAGGATGCAGGGCCTCCTGGCTCCGTTCCGCGGGGCATCGCGAGAGGAGCCCAGCTTCCGGCCCCGCCTCCTCTCCCAGATCTCGCGGTATCACTGCTGTCCCGCAGGAAGGCGGAACGACGCTCCCGACCCAGTGGGAGCGCAGCCTAAGGCTGGTTCGAATCGAGCCCTGGGCGGCGGGTCGCGGGGAGCGCTGTCAGAGTTGGGGGAGTCACTCCCTCCCAAGAGGTGCAAGAGGACGGGGTTTAGGCCGGAAGAGCCTTAGAGGAGCCATTTTCCAGGTGGGGCTCCAGACAGACTCTGGCAGGGAGACCGGCCACCAGTCCCGCAGCCGGCCTGGCGGACTGGGTGCGGTCCGAGCCCCCCTGACCGCAGCCGAACCCGCCACCCCTGCCCCTGGAAAGGAAAGGGGCGGGGAGGAGAGGTTGAGAGTCCCAGAGGTGGGGTGGCAGGATGGGGGCTCCTTGAATCTGTCCCTCTCCTGCACCCCTTTCTCACACTCACGTGCCGCCCACCCCCTGTCCCTCTGGGGCACCGCAGCTGAGAATGAGCGACGGTGAGCCCCGACTTAGCTCTAGAGTCTAGGGCTAGGCCCTGTTGGACGAGCTTTACAGGACAGCAGCCCCGGGTGACAGAGGAAGGAACGGGTATCTAGGTAACTTCTGTTTTCACCCAGTCCCTGCCCGTCCGGTGTGCCAGCAATGCTGGGAACACGACCGCATTGTTTCTGCTCTGGGGACGAAGAAACTGTGGCTGCAGTTAAGGGGCTTTGTTCAGAGTTTACTCAGACAGAAAGTAACGATGTGGTTCCTGCTCAAAGGGAGTTGATAAGTTCAATTTAAGCTTCATTTCCCCCCTCCCCGCTGCTATTTCCTGGGCATACAAAGGATCCTTGCCGGCAAAAAGTTCAGACTCAAGTGGGGCAGGTAGATTTGCTGCAGTTTGTTGCCTTCAGAGAGGAATGCACAATCCCAGTGTGGGTTGGTGGGGAAGGGTGGGGCGGGCGTGTGTGTGTGTGTGTGTGTGTGTGTGTGTGTGTGTGTGTATCTATGACTAAGCTTGCTTGGAAGCAGCTAGTTAGGAAAGCAAAGATTAAAAGAACAATTCCCATTCGTGCTAAAGACAAGGTAGTGTATGGTGACTGGTTCACTATTTCCTCCCTCCCTTCCACTTGTTTATTGAGCTACTAAGATATGTTAGCCCAGTCTTGGAGCTGGGTGTTCCCCTGTGAACAAGATCCACACATTTTATGCCTTTAAGACACTCAGCATCTAGTGAGAAAGAGAGGTAAATGGCAAGCAGCATGATGTGGGCAACACTAGGAGAGTTACGAGGCACCATGGGAACACTGAGGTGGTGTATCTAACCCAGATTTGGGGTGTGTGTGGGGCCTGTGTGAGAGAGGACCTCCGGAGGATGAAACATCTAAGCTGAGAGATGTACAGGAAGAGTAGGACTACTCAGTGGGCCGATTCAGCTCCAGAGGAGGGAGAGATCCTTGCCTGGGCATTGGAATTCTCAAAGGAGAGGGCACTAGGAGCTGGACCTTTTACAGTGGAAAGTGTTTAAAGGAGGAAAGAGCCCAAAGAAAACCCTGGAGGTAGGAAAGCCTAGGCCTATATTCAGGGGACAGTGAATGATAACTTCTGATGGAATGGGGATGCGAACAAGCAGTGTCCTCTATCTTGCCATTGACCACATTCTCTGGTTAATTATTTACCTCTCTGTCTTACCACTAGAACTTTGAGCACTTTGAGTCAGGTATGTCTTTCATCTCTGTGTCTTTATTGTCCAGCATTAACCAGGCTGAGAGTGATGCTTTGAACTTGGGGAGAGTTGAATGGTTTTACATAAAGCTGGAAAAAGCAGGTTGGAAAAACCAGATTGTGTAAGACCTGTGAACATTAGCTGAGAAGTTTGTATTTTATTTCTTGGGAAGCAAGTGTTTATCAAAGGCTTTTCTGTTGCCACCACCAACTGTGAAGATTAGACTGACCTGGGCATGCTAAGGGCTCCAAGGGGAAAACGTGAGGGCAGGGAGATTGTGTAGGAGGCTATCTTATGAGATCAAGATCTGAGCGATGATGGTGTTCATAGAAATGGAGAACATGGGGCCAAAGAGGGAACAGTCTTAAGGGCTTAAGAAATGAAGCAATGTGGGGAATCAGCCGGAGAGAAGTATATCTATATAGAAATGGAGTTCAGGGGTAGTGTGGAAGGAGAGCTGGCTGGAGAAAATAAAGAGCTCCATTTAAGATGGGCTGAATTGGAAGGGATGGTGAGTTATCCATATAGAAATAACAGTAGACAAGTGGGGAGTTATTTCTAAGAAGATATGTGGGATTGAAACTCAGGAGAGAGGCCAGGCCTGAAGTCATCCCTCTTGAAGGGAAAGTTAAGGCCATGAGAGAGAAGCTAGAATCACAGATTCTCAGACTCACTCCCACAGATGGGGCTCAATACCCTCCCCATCCCTGTCAAGTTAACCCTATCTTCATCTCCACAACTCTCTACCTCCTAAGTCCTTTACTGGGGCCATTCCAAACAACTTGACAACAAAGCTGTCTTTACAGTCAGCTCCTATCTGCTTCCCTTTAAGTCCCAAGATTGTTCACAACAGTCTTAACAGCTGCTGTATCAAAGCATTGACTGTGCCAGGTGCTATGCTCTGCTTCGCCCATGTAACTGTTTCACTGAACATACAGGGCTGTATTCAAGAAGCCGAGTGCATCATAAAACAGATTTATGTCTTCATCCCCACTCTTTCTTGATATATTTGGTTGCCCTTGGATTACTTCTAGTCACCAGGACAGACTCATTGCAATAGCCTAAATGTCTAGTTCACATTAATAGTAAAAATTCTGAATTTAATTCAAAATTAAAGCAACTCTCCTTCTCTAGCTTTCGTTAGGCTCTTACCTTTCCAGAGGAGGGTGGTTGATTTCTGTATTTCTCCATCTTGCTTGCTCATCTCCCCTGTACCACCACACCATGCAGACTGAGGCTTCAGACCCATTAATATTGGTGGAGGGGTATGTAAGAGTAGAGATGGGGCAGGAAAGTTCCCTTTGTCATGTGGCATTAGTAGTCTGATTCTTTCCTCCTGGGTCTCTCTTAACTGCAGTTTCCTTGACCTAGGGGTTACACTTGTCTTGCTGCTTTCAGTTGCTCCCTCAGCCCCAGGTTTCTGAAATCCCTTGCAATTGGTCCCTTGGCCCTCCAGGTCGCTCCTCCTAGGCAAAGTCCATTTAACATGGCTTCTAGTTAGCCCTCTCTCCTGCCTGGGCCACATCTGGTCTATAGGGAACACTAATGCATCTTTTGCCTCAACAAATTATGGGGGTGCAGACCATTTCAATGCAGTTGCCTCAGACTCTTCCAGGCTAGGGCCTGCCACCAGCTTCTGTGCCTGGATAAGCTTCAGAGGGCACAGTCTAAGCTATTCTAGTTTCATGAATTGGGAATGTTTGAAACTTGTGTTTCAAACTTGTGAGACATGAATTATGAAAAAAGAAAGAAGGGTGCTGAAAGGAGGGGGCTAAGGGGAATGGGGAGGGGAAGGATTAGGTCAAAGGATGCTTATCTCTCTGGGAGAAAGCTGGAAGGGCAGTCAGAGGCAGTAGGTGGGGGAGGGCCTTCCATACCCAGTGTCTTTAACCTTTCCAGGTAGAACTAGAAAATTATAGAGAAGTTGCTCAATAAGGACTCAAGGGAGGTGAAGAGGTTTGGATAAGAGTTGTAGGCCTTGGGGAAATCCTGGACAAATGAGAAATGATGAAAAAAGGGTTCACTGGTGGTTATGGGAGCCAAGCTGAAGTTCTGTGGTGTGTACTTTCTGTGTGTCCAAGTCCTCATCGTTTCCTATGCCCAGATCCCACACCAAGGTCATGGACATACAAGTTGGGCTACAGACTCATATCCATATATGCATATGTGTATTCACATCTTTTTTTTTTTTTAATCCTCACCTGATGATATTTTTCCATTGATTTTTAGGGAGAGAGGAAGAGAGAGGGAAAGACAGAGACAAACATTGATGTGAGAGAAATACATCAATTGGTTGCCTACTGCATGAATTCCAGCCAGGGCCTGGGCCAGGGAGGAGCTTGCAATCAAGGTACATGCCCTTGACTAGAATTGAACCCGGGACCCTTTGGTCCACAGGCTGACGCTCTATCCATTGAGCCACACTGGCTAGGGCCGTATTCCCATCTTTGAACACATAAACACATATATCTACACAGGGGATTTATTTTTAGTTTTGATTGTCATATATGATACAGTATACCAATCTTAAGTGTTCAGTTGGTGGGTCTTGTCCATTTATAACCTTGTAACGTCCACCCCAAACATGTGGCAGGATATCTTCATTCCAGAAAGTTTTCTCATGATTATTTTCATCAGTTCCCCAAGACAGCTACTTCCTGTCACCATAGATTCATTTTGCATGGTCTTCATTGTATATTTTTATACACAATATACAAATATATTGATACCCACCTTGCCCTAATCCCATACGAAGACAAGCCACACATATCCACATATACTGACCATTTTGTACTTTAGGCTTAGACCGTGTTTATGAGCTATTAGATGTTTGCTATTAGGTCACATATTGTATAATAACCTATTTTCTCTTCAACCCTAAAATCGTACCTCAAATGAAATATTTTAAATCTTTCTTTTCAGAACCTTGGAGCTAAAACAAAGAGAGAGGTGGTAATCATTCCACCTTGCGTGATAGTTTTCTTTATTTTCCTCTAGGGTATTGGAAAATGGGGACACATATTTTAAAACAGCACCATATTTAGATAGATAGATTTAACTTTTAGTTGTGGCCCCTTCCTGCTTAAAGTCAAAAGGATTTGACTCTCCAAGATACATTCCAGTACAGCAACTATAAGGTTATGGACTGGCAGAGTAGAGGCAGCAGGAAGTTGCTGGCAAAGAGCTCCCAAGAGCTTAGAGTCATTGATGGTGATAGAGCTAAGTCAGGAACAACACCTTCAGTCTTCCAGACCAGTCAGAGGTCAGGGAAATGAGAGAAAAACTGAGTCCAGAGCCTGTCAGGGCCAAGGACCCATGTAAGGAGCAGAAGGTGAGGCCTAAGCCCATCATAGAGCAGGGGAGAAACAAGTGCTGGAGGCAGAGTTGGAGGAGGTGAGACCAGACATGGTGGCCACAGCTTTTGGGAGATGGTATTGCAGTTCACCAGCACTTATCTCTGACAACTGATTTGCTGCATAGGTAGACCTGTCAACTTCACGAGACCACTAGGTAC